CGGTTTGGTCCGTTTCGGTACGTAGTACTCTAGATATATATATATATATGCGGGTATTTACATTCTCACTTGACAAAACATACCTCTCACAGATGTGAGCTTGAAGACAATTTCCCCAGGAGAGTCAAATGTGCAATAGTAATCAATCCGTAATGAGAACGACGGTGTGATGAGAGGGAACTGTACCATGTCATCATGCACACTCCACGACATTGTATAAGGTAAAATCTAGAAAATATAATCAGATAGTAGTACTGTTGCGATAGCCATAGTTTCTAGTATAATAATTCTAGCATATGGCAGAGGCAATTATATGCAGAACATAGAGACAGTTAGTAGCACTAATTAAAATATAATTAAAACACTTTAATGTGGCGAATATACGTTAACATTTCGGAGAAATTGGTTTTCCCCACCGAAACGTATGCTACATAGGTGATTTGCTTTACCTCAAGTGTATCGTGGAACGTCAAAATCTCATTCGTTTCATTGTTGCCTCTGTGCAGCAGTTGAACGCCTATCAAGTACTCTGCATGGGTCTCCACTTTGATCGTGTGGTACTTCCCACTGCCGCAGCTCTTGTCGTATGGTCGTGTCTTAAAGTACCACTCGTTCGTATCGGGAAGCTTCAACGTTGTAGTTGACATCGCGTCGTCTGGCAAATACTTAATCTCAGCATTCAGCCAGCTGATGAAGTCGTTCGCCTCGTTCTCTGTCAGCATCGGATTGTACTGGATACCAGCACCTCTACGATGGCCAACCACATCGGTGTCCTGTATGCGTAGGAACTGCGAGTGGATCTCAAGGCCGTTCTTCTCGTTGCCAGAAATCAGCGAGTTCTCAATGCGAGGATTTTTGAAGCCGTTGTTATATAATATGGTAATTCCGTTCTATGAAACAACAAGAACACGCGTTACGCTTTTGGTCAATAATGCGATTGCAGATTTAGGGAATTTTCTTGATGCAGATTAAAATATCATGCCTTACTGGAAAGGTATAAGAAATACAATGTTTAGTCAATGCTATGACACAGTTTATTAATCTGACATGAATGATTTTGTATGAAACGGAACGGCCTTTTGATTAATTGCTAAAGTAAAGACTAGTCTTCATTTAGTATCACGCCGCATACAATAGAACCATAGCTAACGTAGGATAGGCAAGGGTAGCAGTTGACCCTAACCAAATGTAGATACCGTTGCATGGTCAGTGGCGGATAGCTTACAATCAACTGCGTTGGAACACAAGCCGTGTGCGACAATATTCGCACAAGGGCAAATATTCGCAAGTTTAAAAAGCTCACCTGGTCATTGTTCTGGATAATGAGATTATCCATTGAATGTTGGTTCATGTCAATCTGTATTGCGGCTTTGTATTTGTGGGTCATGTAGTCGAACAATCCTAAAATACATGGAGCCATGTATGATCATGCATTCATATTATCATCATGTCTCATGTTGTAGCTATTAAGCATGATCTGTCTAATTCAACGAACGTAAACGCACTCAACCCATCCAGAGAAATGAACATGTGCCTCATGTGCCCAATGCAAAGGCTGTTATTTTGTAGTTGTACCGTGGGCTTATATACATATACAATATTGGCTGAAACAAACTGCTGCTAGCACGATCTAAATATTATAATGTAGCGCCGTGTATTACCCACCTGCTCGTTCAACTACGGTATTAGAGAGGAGACTGCTCTTTGCATTTAGAGAAAAACGCAGACCAGCCCATGTTGCCTGCTTGCAGCGAAGGGCTACATCCATTGTGTGATCACATGAATTCTGATCTTCACCAACCTCCGCTGGGCACTGGCTAAGATCCGTTGATAATTCACCGCACATGACGTCCGACATTATGATTGACAATGTTCCAGGGACCGCTGGATGCAGCCAGTTCTCAATATCAAGAGCCAGACCTGCCATTTTAATGCAGAGGCATTAGTAAGTGAGAAGTCATCATAACTCAAGTAAGAAATGTGATTAGCTAGGAATATGAAATGATATGTGTATACACTTAATTAGTTTAAAACCGAATATAACACTCCTGAAAAAATCAAATCTCGGCAGATAAAAAAGTCTAAAGGTAGACAGGAAGAAATTCAAACGTTGCGCAAACATACCGAGCTGATGACAAACGACAGCAGCGTTCTCTATTGTCCAGCCATTCCTGCAAACAGTACCCCAGACTCCATTGACGCTGACCTCCAGGCGGCCTTGAGTACCTCCATCGGTCAGCCTAACGGATGTGCTGTTTGAAAGTTCTCTTGTATCCAAGGTCATCCTGACGGGGTTGCTTGTGGTTCCTGTTGCCTGAATCTCCCCCTGTACCATGGCTCCAATAGCATGTGTGAACTTCATCTGTGGATCGATAAAGTAATGGATTAGGCACACGCCGGTGTGAACAGTTAACAAAAAGATGACAACCAAATTTAGACATTTGTCAGCGTGCAAGTGGCCACTGTACACTTTCAGACATATTCTGACGTAAGAATTAAATATTGAAACAATTTTCACATTTAGTTACGATAATAAATAATAATAGAAACGAAAACATCGTTACCTCGGTACCTTTCTCCAGAATCAGTTTACCATTTGGTTCTATGTTAATGTCATCGACGACAATGTAGGGGCCCTCGTCTGCCCTCAACTTCAGATATCCAGTTAGCAGCCCACCTGCGTGTGCATATGATCATGTGATATCAGGAAACAAATTTGATTTATTAATTCAAGATTATATATGATGGCATGATAGTTGAGTAATAAACAGTAACGAATAATGAGTAATTCTTAAATCATAAATTTTAAAACATTGAATTTATGACTCCTTTGCATAGCAATATACTGAGGAGAGTGCAGGTTAGGATATGATATAATCTTACCCAATTTATTATCTTCCTGGAAGGGTGGTCGAGAATCTGGATACAAGTCAATACCGTCGCCATCTAAATTAGAATCCTTTAGGTAGGGGAAGAAATTACACAGAGCAAGGTTGTATCTGTCGTCGTTGTCGAATAGGCGTATGCGGATTTGCGTGACATCACTTGTACCCCACCAATTGAGCGAAGCAGTGATTTTTGTGATGTGGTGGTCCAGGTGTGAAGCCATCTCGAACTTTGAAGGAGGATTTTCGAAGAAGTTTCTCTGTGCGTGAACGTTTCCTGACGTTATCGCTACAACAGCGGCAGCTCTGTTACGAGCCGTTAGATAAGGAAATGGCTCCTTGACCTCGTTTGCTTCCAGAATGTTTTTTATAAAGTAGAACATCTGGTAGTTACTGCCTTGAGACAATCCAATGTTCACAACGTACCTGCAGTAAATAACAACATCCGTGAATTGCAATTGGCTTTGTTGCCACCTGAATGTCAATTTAGTCAAACATATTTTATTTAAATATAACTGTTCAAAGATAGAGAATAACTCACACGTGTTTATATGTTCAAGAGGAAGTAAGGAATAATCCTCACATAATTATCACGTACTGACGTACGTAAACGGCTATATCTAGATCAAATGAAAGCATGCACACTATACTGTAAGTTATCACGCCAACACAATACAACCGTTACTGCAACTGCCACAGAACGTTTGGAATTATAGGTCCACCCACCTTCCTTTATTCTTATAAAAGTCATTGTGAGACAGGTCAACGAAAGCCGGCAAGTGACTGTAGTCAGGATACTCTCCCCAGTAGTTCTCGTAGCTGTTCCTGATTAACACCGTGCCACGCACTTGCTGCTCAAACGAGTTATTTCCTATCGCCGCGTGAATGTTAACCGCCGGCGTGATCTTGATCGCGTGGCCGTTATTCTTCAGGAAATCATTGTTGGCCATCCACAGCGTCAGGTTGCCCGAACTTCGGTTCGTGCACGATGTCACCTCCACGATGTCGCCGAAGTTATCCTGAAAGACGTTATGGCTGATGTTGAGGAAGTGCGGCTGGCAGAAGTTGCCGTGCAGGAAAGTCACACCCGGATGCAGGACGAACCTGTTGTACATCACGTCCATGCGCTGCCACAGCGGCACGTGCATCGACGTCAGGTTGAACCAGACGGTCACCGCGTGCTCGGTGTTGCCGTCGAACGAGCAGTTGGTGATGTTGCGACTGCCGCCGGCGTAGGTGATGTTGATGCCGGCGCCGATGTTGTGGTCGATCCGGCTGCGATTGACGAACACGTCGCCCGTGCCGTCCTCGACGTGAAGGCCAGCGACGTAGTTGTTCGACAGCAGTTCGCTCTCGTAGATGTTGACGACGGAGCGCATGTTGTTGACGCTGACGCCCCGACCCGTGTTGTTCTGCACTCTCGTACTGATAAGCTGGACGTCGAACGCTGTCGAGTACACCAGAGTAATTATTGCTAGACAACCGAACGAGGCGTATATAGTGAGAAATTCTAACTGCCCGTGTAGTAGAACATATAGCCGTGTAATAGAATACGGTCAATTTGTAGTAGAATATATAGTTGCATGCACAGTCGAATACAGTCGTTATAGTACAGCAACACACTTGGTTGACACGCAGGACGACACTTGATCGAATCGCATTAACGGTGTAAAGAAGAACAATTAGGAATCAACGGGTAATGAACTGTCACGCACTTTCCGTCGACATCTTACGACGAGAGAATATTTAACTGGAGTACGCGTAATATGGCAGGTATCGGCACTATAAGCTACTCACATCGTCCCTTGGTGATCTCAAGCGTGAACCGGGAGATGTTTAGGTTTTTGTTTGTGAACGCCATCCACACTTCCCTCTGCGTCGTCGTCACTGTCTGCGGCATCGTGTTGTTAACGATGGGAATGATCGCCAGGAGGCGGGCTTTAATCGTCGCACCGTCCCGGATGATCAGCTCACCGTTGTCAGTCGAGTTAGCCCACAGGTTGAGAATAGTAATAGTGAGCACGCCACTCCTTGCACTAAATACCTACAAGGATCAAGCAACAACTGCGTTGGAGTATAATGTTACACTCGTACGCTCCACCGTGATTTGCACATGTTCATCTCAGCACTTGTATTAGTATGACTATAGTAATATGAGTGGTTTAAATGGGGTTTTCTCGAATGTGTTTGAGGCTTCCGCAAGAGTATTATTCAGCACAATATCACAAACAGAATTATATTCCCCCAACATATTTACGCCCTAACAGCATTAGGCACAAAGGTAAACATGGGGATAGAACAATCTGCATATGTAATCAGGAGCGTATAATGACAAATATTTGTCATTATACGCTCCTGATGTAATCCAAGTTTGTAAATCCAAGGTTGTAATCCAAGTTTGATAACCCGTGCAAATGAATCGGTACCACAATCGGTACACACAAATTCGCACGTACCACGTCATCGCACTGAACACCTGTAGAGTTTAGTCGCTCCCCGAGCAACTTCAGTGGATACTTCTCGTTATCGCCTAGACTGATGCGATTGCAAAATGTGTTCAGAAGACGCGGGCTGGTGTTTGCCCGCGCGTATCTCACGCCATCGCCCTGGTTTAGTTCGAGGGTCGATCCCTCTATGGAGAAGTTACCGAACGTGCTATTGATAGCGATTCCATCTCCTGCGATATAAGACAAATTCATAGCATTAAAACACGTGTTAACGAGTAAAACTATAGGACGATAACGTATGTAGTAGCAACGAGAATATATCACATAAACAGTGCAAACACGTTTCACAAACAAAACAATTCCTCTTCGTCCACCTTTCTAATGCCCGCACATGGTTATGCTTAATTCTAATTGTTGAATGTTTTATACACGAAATCATCGCTCCACGATCGCTCGCGAGGAAAAAACCGCAGTCAATGTGAGTAGCGCTCATAGGGTCTATGTCCCCCAGGGTACTGCCGGAACGTACCCTGGTAACTATTTGATATGGTTAGGGTTAGAGTTAGGGTTAGGGTTAGGATTAGGGTTAGGGTTAGGGTTAGGGAGTAGGCGTAGGCGACTCCCTAGACTCGTTAGTGGAGTAGGCGAGGTACGGTCCGGCATATTAGATAGTACCAGGGTACGTTACGGTATACATGCAGGACCGTACCCACTACCCAGGGTACGTTCCGGCAGTACCCTTGGGGACATAGACTCTCTCAGCGTGAGTAGCATACGAGTCATGATACGAGTATGGGGCGCCAAGTGTAGCATGACTGATTTCGTTACGGAATCAATTATTTTGTAACAAAATCAAGTTTACAGCTACTGCGAGTGATTTCGTTACGAAATCAACTACTGCGAGTAATTTCGTTACGAAATCAGCTACTGCCAGTGATTTCTTACGAAATCAGCTACTGCGAGTGAAGGCGTGCCAAGTGTCGCATGAATTGATTTCGTTACAGAATCATTGATTTCGTAAC